TTCCCCCCCCCCCCCCTACTCCACACCTCCAGTCTCCAAACAAATTGTACCTCACATCTACAGCCCAAGTGTTTTACAATTCAGTAAGCATAAAATAGTGGTCCTAAACATTTCCAAGACTAGAAGACACACAAGAGACCTATAGAGAGATGACAGTACTAAATTCCTTAATTCTAATGGCAGTCTAAGTTTAACATTTGTAAATATTGCAAAATTCTCTCCAACAAACATACGTGACATTTTCCTATAACCCTCATGTGCCATGTCAAAAGTATTACTCTAGGTGCAAAGGGTAATGGATACATCATCATGCTCTTATTTGCTGAGTACAAACTTACAAATACCTAATTCAGACAACAAACATATTTGTTATCTGGTGGTACTGAGGAGACTGGTAACCTCATGGAACAAGAGGCTAGAGCAAGGAGAGGCAAGCTAAACAGAAGTGTTCTTATACCATTCAAGGTAAGTAATAATATTTAATTTAGAAGATCAGTAGCTGGTAGGGCTACTGAGGGTGTATGAAGACTGGACTTGGGAGACAGTTCTAAGATTATGAGCTGGTACAGGCTACATCACCATGCACTACTTGGGATTTTTTAAGAAAGTAGTGGAATTAGCCTCCTTGTGAAAAGCTGGGTGCCTTTGAAAATCCTGTTTCAAAAAAGGTAGGACAGAAAGGAATATCCACTTGAAACAGACTTAAAACAGAGAAAAAAGCAGTTTTGCATTCTTCTGCAAGTGTCCATTTTTTGTACATTTTATTTAAAATGATTTGTTCTGTTGACATGTGAAAGACACAAATACAGCAAACTATACAGAAAGGCCTGTCAGTATACAAAGTAAACAAACAAGTTTCAGTTACAATAGTCTGTTCTTTGAGACAGAAGTGAAATTTAAGTTGACAGCATCCCTTTAAACTCTAAAAGCATCTTCCAAGGACAGCAATAGGAGCCTCTTTAGCAGTCATAGTGTAGGGAAAAAAAACAAAGGCACAGGATCAAGAGAGTAAGGCCGTCTGGGCTGTATCCCGTCTCTGCCTGTGTTTTCATGAGAGGCTGGGTAATTCACTTAAACAGCTGTGCCTCAGTTTCTCCCATTTATAAAAATGGTCACAGGACTCCCCTCACAAACTCCAAAAGCTAAAATTAATTGTGTGTTGAGATCCTTAGATAGATGGCAATTTGAGACATCTGGCCAAATCAGATCAATACTGAAAATAATCCTGCACTGCCATAAAGGAAAAAGATTACTGGCAATTTTCTGTTTGACAGCTGTAAGTAGAGGCATGGCAGGGTCCGTGAAGTCTGTTCTCAACTGGGTAACACTTGTATTAGCATTTTATTCCAGTCAAAATCCAGTTTGTTCATGACACCACTGCCTTTCATTGTTTGCTGTATAGTATCTACAGTATTCTACGGTGGGACAGAGTAGCAACAAGACTGCTTACATCAAACACCTAAATATGGTTAACTATAGTCTAACACTTTCTATAACCCAGCTAGGGTCTTGTTTTCCCCCTTCCACCTTTTGACAGATCCATCCAGTCAGCCAAATAGTTGCTACACTACAAAACGTAACAAGGCATCACCACGGCACACATGAACTGAGGTCCAAGGAAGCTACTGAAGTCCTTAGCACAGTTGATTTCAGGTCTGTAAGCTGATGTGGAGAATGCAATTTCAGTTCCCAGGAATGGGATGGAGAAATTAATCCCTTACTTTCTGCACTTTAGAGTATAAGCACTTTCCCATTTAAATGCAATCTTTTACATATTGAATATTACTACTTCACTGAATATGGAGGATCAAATCCACTTCTCACAAATCAGTGAGCTCCTCAAAACTTAGCCTATCAAATTCACCCTTTGGCAGAGCAAGTCTGAGATGCATACTATTAGTAACAAATAAACTCAATAGAACCTTTTTACTGCTCAGAAAAGCAATTCCTCAGTTACAGCTGTACACATTTATAGTGGAATGGAAATAACTATCAACGCTTCAGATGTGTGGGGACTTGGCTAACAGCCTGGCAATAATACATTAATAGAAACTTTATTTTTCCATTATAGACCAACTTAACATGCTTTGTGTATAACTTACAAACTATTAAACTTTTATATAAACTTTATACAAATTCTTAAATGATTTTAAAAATACTGTACAAACTCACCGTAAGGCACAAAAAGTTAACAAAAATGCAGCACATTGGAAGTCTCAAAGCAGCCAATTCAAAGGAAGCTGGCCTTGTAACAAATACATTATAATTTGTTTAGTTTAAACACTTTAAAGTTTCACTATCATACAATACAAACTAAAACATATAGCACAAATTGTATGCTGTTCAGCATCTATTTTTGACCTGTTCTACTCAAAATCCACTATTAACAAGTTGGTCAAGGCTTAAACACCATAACCGAGTTTCTTATGGGACTTGCAAACGAGTAAAGAAATAACAGAACTGATAATTCCAAATGTTAGCAGGCATTTGAATATGTGAACATGACAAGCATCAAATGTTTTCTTTTCAGTATTTTCTGTTTGTAGATTTAGAGTATAAACAAAGTTCCAATCTCTCACTTTTATTGCTGTTTGTTGTTTGGCAAGGAAGTATAGTTGTATTACCCAAAAAATAATTTTAAAAAAATCTCCCCAAACTCCAGGCATACCATTTTCAATTATGCCCGACGTAAACAGAGATTTGATACATCATGACCAAAGAAGCTGCTCTGGTTAAGTGACCAAACTGCAAAAAGGACAAACTAGTGAGGGGACTAATATTACTGAATTGATAACACTGGGTAGTGATCAGGACTGTGGGAGACCCAAAGACTCCTGCTGGTCACTTCCACAGTCCATGAAAACAAAGCTAGTATGCAGACTGAAACACAACTAACCTTCCTTTGTTACAATCTTGGTTTATTAATAGTTTATCATGGCTATCCAAAGTCTTACATGGAAACTGCTTAACATAGGTTTGAGGGGATATAGTCTGCAGAAGGAGTAAACTTAAGCACGGCCTTAAATATAGTCTTAAATAAAGGTTCGAGAGGATATAGTCTTCAGGAGTAAACTTAAGCATGGCCTAAGCATACAACTTCTAAATGCTTCAGAAAAAATGAAAAATCACCCTTGGGTTACAATATGAATTATTCAATTTGGATCACTTTTGAGTAAACAATTATCATACCTTTATTATGTACAAGGTCCTGCTGGAATGAGACGTTACTCTAATCAAATGACTATTCAGCATGTAATGCAACAAAGATGAAAGTAAAGTGCGGAGAATATAACACGGTTAAGTTTAAGTGTAAACTTCCTAGTGTGTCTTTAACCAAGGCAGCCAGATCCTGGCACTCGGGCATTAAAGAAAAACAAAACACAGCCTCTCCTCTTGGGACACAATACTCTTCATTCCATTTAATCAGGTAATATTACTTCTCTTCCCATTATAACCAAATTACCAATCCGATTATACCAATATCCTTAAATCATATCTACCTTTGTTTTTAGTAGTAAACTACAATTTACCTCTTCTGTTAAGATACACAGATGTCAAGATTCGACTTCAGTATCAGGGACTTCTGCCTGCTAGTACCAAAAAATTAAATGGTAAACACATTCTGGGTTGCATTGTTCGATGAGAGAGTGTGGTTATATGGAAGAAGAAAAAACTAACTAGGTAGAGTTTCTATTAATTGTATCATGACAAAAAAGCTTTAGATATGATTTATCATCATGGAGGACTTCTGACCAGGGAAAGTGAACAAATACCTGAATGTTAACAGTTCACAATATTAAACTTCAGTTATGTAGACATGGAATTTTGGAACTGCATTGGGATTGGAACATGTCAGAAATGTAAGGAGCCCAATGCGAGTTCCTTGCTCAAAATCTGTCACAAATTTTGCGATCCAGCTGGTCCCAATAAAGCATCTTAACAGGACAGCATCCTCACTAACCAGCATAATCCTCTTACAGCTTCTCAAGGTTGCAATTATATACACTTGCCACCCTGAGAGAAGAACTGGGTAAGAGCAATCCCTCATTTATCCCTTGGAAAAGAAAGGGACATTCTTCCTCAGCTGCTGTGTAGACTGAACTGGGCCATGCAACTGAGTCTAGGGAATCCATCTCTCCCCTGCCAAAAAGCACCTCACTCTCCCGTTATAACCTTACCCCTAGTTCCGGGTTGTTAAATTTAAACTGAGAACCAACAATCTGATTTTGAAGTCAGTGGAAAAACTCCACTAACTTAAATGAAGCTGAATGAGGCTATGGGTCATTTCTCCCCAATCATTACATTTGACATAAATATATAGAGTTTAATTCTACCAGGGCATCTACCAAGGAGAAAAGAAAAAAAAAAAGACTAACATCTGTGGAGAACAGCTCCCTCAGGGGCAGCTAATTAGCAACCATCTCTTACCGTTCAGCATTGCACCTTGCTGTTTTGGAACTGAGCTTATTTATGTTCCCCGAGGGGCATACATGCTCTCAAGGGCTTTACCAAAATCTAAACCTAAATCTAGACTGGGATTCAGCTCAGATGATCTTACGATTCTTTACGTGGTGCAAGCTCAAAGGAAAGCTCACACTGTTAGGCTTTGAAATCTGGGTGTCAAGTCAGCTGGACTGATTCTTTTCTGACACTGTTACACAAAAGAAAGTTTCACCAGGGTCAGTGGAACTATTTAAAGGGTGTCAAAAAAGAATCTCACTTCGTATATTTACATCAAATGACTAAATTAAATCAAGAAGTTCCTGTTGTCATTAAAAATACTCCTGAGCTTCTGCAGAACAAGAGAATAAGTAGCATTCTGTAGTATTTGAAGACACTCCTAAGAAAGAATAAAATGTCAAATACAAAAAAAAAGGAAGCCATTATTGCTGGTGAACTCCTGTCAACCCTCTAAAACAAACTGTTTAATTATTACATAAAATTAAAAAAAAAAAAAAAAAAAAAAAAAAAAAAAAAAAAAAAAAGAAGTGTGGCACTCTTCTCTGTTGTCTTTTATCTACATTTTCCTCTTCACCTAGAGGGTTTGTTGCATATCTGTGCAATTCATTTGGCCAGAAACCTTTTTCTTGTAGAAATTGTTGCCTTCCAGTTATAGCTCCTGAGTTCTATACAGTTCAGTAAATGAATTCTCCTGGTATTTCTTGCAGCAGTGGCTCTTCAAACTTAAACCGTTTGGAAATGGCTTTCTGATCAGTTATTTTTTCTTGTTCTGACTGCCTACACTGTCCCAGTGTATATGAAGCAACTACAATAAGCTCCTCTGTCACTACCGATTCCTCCTCTTCAGTTTTCTCGGCATCTACAGACTTTTCAGATGCAAAATCCTCATCTGTCTGGGTGGCAGTGTTTGCCTCAGCTGGTATACTCTTATTGCTACATGCAGGATCTGGGATATCACTTTGTGCTAGCCAAGGGTGTTGAAGACATTCTTCAGCAGTTGCCCGTTCCCTACAAAGAAAAAAAAAGGTAGGCTGCTTTTTATTCAAGAATGCCAGGAGCATCAAAAGGTGAACACTGAACAAGAGACCTTGGATAAGAACTAGGAAGTTTAAACAAGTTCTTCCCAGTGTAAGAGTTTGCATTAAAACAGCACAGACTGATTCAACCATTGAACAACAGAACTGTGGTAGTGCCCCCCCTTTTGTAAAGAAAAACCAGGACCAATAGCAAACCGAGAAAATATATATATTATAAAACAAATAAACGGGAGTATCCTTTAGGTATCAAATCACATGCTATCTGAACTACCACACAGTGGTAAATTATACAAAATACTAAATTTATACAAAGCTGCCCAATATTTGAATCCTTGATACTGGTTTTTTCCTACGGAACTATGTTGTCAGTTGCTGAGCCAAAGAGAGGCATTAATGAAGTTCCAAAGATACTTTTCAAAACAGAAGCAGTATTGTAGGGTTTCTTATTTGCTTCCTAATGGCAACCATGTCAAATCTGCTCACTTCACAAATAAGTATACTTTATTGACTATCAGCTCTGTAAGACTGTAAAATACCTCAGTACTATATGCAGACTGAGAAACTCGCTGCAAATGGAGTCATTCTGCAATATTAGTAAGTGAATGAACAAATGCAAAAGGAGTGGGATACTATACCACTGTTTGCCTTATTAGTCAGAATTCATTCAATTTTATTTATTGATCATACTGAAGTGCAGCTGTAAAATGAAATCTGAGCAACATGAAACTTGCCACATCATTCATTTTAGCTGAGAAATGGAGACAACCTTTTTGTAAACGCAGAACATAAGACTGGGCATAATGAATTACAAATTTGCTAAATTCTACCATGTGTGCTCATTTTACTACCCCTGCTCTAGGAAAACATCAGAAAAAGCTTATAGCTGGCAGTTGTATTTAGAACTCCGCTAGTCTCCGGAACACTGAAAGACAACTTTTTATTGAACTTACTCAGGTTTCTTAACTAGAAGGGTTTTGATGAAATCCACAGCAGACTCTGAGATGAGTTCAAAATCTTCTTCAGAGTAACTTACGTTCATCTGAGATATATTTAAGAATGTTTCTTGTTTATCATCCCCTAAGAAAGGCGATATTCCTGTTAACATAACATATGCCAGTACTCCAATGCTCCTAGATATAAAGAACAGAAAACACAGAGGAAAAGCATTATTTTTAACAGCTCTCAATTTTTTTTTTAAACTGTATATATCAAAGGCTGCACTTACCACATGTCTGTTGCTGTACTAATTGGGTCATAACTTAGGATTTCAGGAGCTATTATGGAAAAAAAGCATAAAGTAGGTTACACTTCTTGTTCAAAACAGTGCAACTAAATTTATATTCACTCATTTATGTGCAAAATCATGCACAATAAGCCAGCATTAAATAATGCAGCACTAAGCACTTCAGAAGACCTAACAATGCAAGGCGCAGTTCATCATCTAGAATATGACAAAATTACTTTAAAGAAAAATCTGTAGCAAGTCAAAATCTAAAAAAATCCCAAAACAAACCAACCCACAAACAAAAAACAAGCGACCACAAATTTGCAACCATCACTGGATTCGTTTCCTAAAGAAAATGTAATCATAGCTCTTTTCAGTTTTTATTCCATTTGCTTTTACTACTGACTTCAGAAGTCTGTTCAACTTTCCTTTATATAGAAAAACTTCTACACAAGTTCTTTACAATCTTCAAAACTCAAAACAATACTAGCTGTTGTACGTCACCTCTGCTGGATATCTTCTTTCAGGACCTGCTATTAATGTTTGTATATTTATATTCTGCATTATGTTCACATGTAGCTTCTTCCCCCCGCCCCCAAGCTCTGCGCCTACTGCCTAATTTTCTGTTGGCAACTAATATGATTCAATATACTGAAGAATTGCTTACTGAATCATTTATTTGTCTCTTTACATTTTTCTATACATAAAAGCAGTATGACTAGTACACTACATAGCACATGTATAAATAAACCAGTTTAAGAAAAAAATAGGTGAGATAAGAAAAAAAAAAAAAATATATATATATATAAAAAAATAGGTGAGCTAGAGTACTCTTTCTCCATCTTTTGGAAAACAAACATTCACTGCCAGTTACTTTTCTGTGAAAGGGAGGCTCCATAAAGTTATCTCCTATCGTGTCAGAATTTGGCAAGCACTCATACCTCTGGTGAGGTGGACAACCTATGAAAATCTGTACTGTGGTTCCCACTAGGTGGGCCCAGGTTCAGTTAACAGCGCACTGATTAGCTAGCTTACCTATAAAGGATCTCACTATCAAGAGTGACAGAAGAACATTTTTTTCCTGAAGGCTAAAGTAGGATATTAGTTCCACATAAATTTCATGCCCATTTCTGCAATGCTACAGAAAGCTTAAGATATCAGCTTAACACATGGAGTGCAAACAAAGCAAAATTTAAGTTCCCCCACGCATTAAAAAAATACTTTCTTTCCATAGACCAAATTAATGGCTCCTCTGTTAATTAATTACTTACCCACATACTCAGGAGTTCCCATAATTTCTCTTAGTTCTTCACTACTCTTCATTATTCTGGAAAGGCCAAAATCAACGATCTTAATGTCACCCAAAGGAGATTTACTAGTTAGCAGAATATTTTGGGGCTGAAAAATATAACAAAATAATTAACAGATGCCAGAAGCAGTCAAACCTATATGCAATTATTTCATGCTGTAAAGATACAGTGCTATTTTAAGCATAAAGAGGGTACGTTCTCTATTACATAAAAAATACACTTTACCGAAGATAACTGTGAACAGGTATTTATGTTAAAAGCAGCATTCAACAGTCAGACGTAGCTATAAAACTGAGAAATCAGATTTGTTCTAATCTGAGAATGGCACAAAAGACGCACCAAAACTCCCTAGAGGTTAACACCATCTGTATGTGTAGAACCTATCAGCATGTTTGTCCCACACATACCAGCTTGTGTCTTTTGCTAACTCAGTTTATTTGTAAACTGTCACAATTTTCAATATCTTTAAAGTCTTTAAGCGTATTTTTGCTGCGTCTAAAGAAAAACAAGGACGACAGATAAGTGACCTTAATTCTGTTTGAACAATAATTATTACTTAAAAAGTGTTTTTAGTTATGTACTTAAAATGTTATTAGAATGTAAAGATTTCAACTAAAAATGTAGGCACCTAAAACGAATCCTTATTAAGAACCAGTAAATAAACTAAATGCCAACATCTGAAGAGGGATGAATTTGTTCTGAAATACCTGGAATTCCTTTGGACCATTTCCCAAATTATATTTACCACTTAGCACTGGCAGAGCCAGCCAGAGGCACCAGGAAAACCAGCCCATATATATATATATATCAAAAGACAATCGCTTTCATAGACATTAGGGCTGGAAGGGACCTCATCAGATCATCAGGTCCAGCCCCCTGTTCAAGGGGCAGGCAGTCAGCTAGGGTCAAAGCATCCCAGCAAGGTAAGTGCCCAAATGATTCTTGAAAGTGTCCAGAGTAGCTGCTTGCACCACCCCTGTGGGGAGTGTGTTCAAGGTCTTGGGGGCTCAGACAGTAAAGAAGTTTTTCGTTATGTCCAGCCTAAGATGGTCTTGCAGGAGTTTGTGACTGTTGGACCTTGTCATCCCCTGGGGTGCTCTGGTGAACAGACGTTTCCCCAGATCCTGATGCAACCCCCTTATGGACTTATAGGCTGCCACCAAGTCACCCCTGACCCTGCGCTTTTCCAGGTTGAAGAGTCCCATAGATCACAGCCTGTTTTCATAAGGCCTGTTCTCTTGCCCTCTGATCATGTGTGTGGCTCTCCTCTGGACTTTCAAGCTTTTCCATGTCCTTCCTAAACTGTGAAGGCCAAAACTGGATGCAGTACTCCAGCTGTGGCTTCACCACGGCCAAGCACATTGGGAGGATGACATCCTGGGTCTTGCTCGAGATGCATCGGTAGATGCAAGCCAAAGTTTTGTTTGCTTTGCTAGCTGCGGTATCACATTGCCAGCTCATATTCATCTTGTGGTCAATCATGACCCCCAAGTCTCTTTTGCTCATGGTGCTTAAGTAGTAGTGATTCACTTACATAGGAAAAACAGTGTGCACTCCCCAAAGTTACAGCACTTAAGTGTAATCTACTGGATACAAAAGAATCATGAACTATATGACTACTTTTTACCATCTTTAATTTTCCCTGAGCCTGATGAAGGGCAAGAAACCCTGAAAGCTTGTAGAAAAGTATTTTTTTTGTAATTTCTTAGGTGGTTTAATAAAAGGTATCATCTCTGAACCAAGAGTTCTAGATTTTTGCACATTTTTCTGAGGCATTACAACAAAATTAAATTTGGTTTGAGGCAAAAATGAAACTAAGCCTTTAATAAACTTAGTTCCTGAATCAGACTATCTCAACTGATGTTAGAGAAATGAGACACATTCTTCTAACTTTCTTTGTTGGAGAGTTCTCAAGTCTTGTGTGTTGGCCATATTTGAGGATTAAGTACTAACAGTCATTCACTTGCTATTGTTGCTTATATCTCAACGTTGCATCATTAAAAGCAATATTTCTTCTACATGAAACCCCATGAAGAACTTTCCTCTTTCAAAACAGCTTTTCTTGGTCTCAATAAGAAAAAAAGCTAAGCGTGCAATAGAAAGGTCCTTTTGTTTCAAAATGGCCGTCACCTCCCATTATTTCTAATGGGAGCGAAGTCAAATCCCTTCAGGGAAGATAGGTGAATCCTGACAGCACAGAAGCAGGAGCATGGAGGGGACTGTGGCATCAAGAAGAAACTGTTCAAAAGGCTGTAGTCACATTGCGTTGCTTCAGTGGGAAAAAGCAGCTAAAGCAGAATCTGATATACTGAAATGTAGTTAAGGCAGAGTAGCATTAGTCACCCAAATGTTACAAGGACATCACAGTCATCTGGTGAAACATGAACAAACCACAGTTATAGCACCTATATAACCTAACTGCCTAGAGTAATTCACCATAACTGAATTATAACCACTAGGGCACAGGTGCCTGGAGTCCCAGATGAAACTGATTTTGATTTCTTCATGGGACACACAAATCAAACATGTTAATCTTAACTTTCGTTCTCGGGTTTCTAATGCTTGTTCTGTGGGGTAAGTATATCTCTACAATGCTTTAACCTTGATGTAATAGATACGCATGCAACCTTAACTACAGTTTAACATAGCTTTTATCTGAATTCTAAGAAACCAATGGATTCTTTTCAAACAGCAACCTGCCTACTCACTGCATTAGGCAGTTTTCTATAGATCTAGTGAAATTGTATTCAAAGAAACAATTTGAAGAAAGCAGAGATTTTGTTAATTATTTTGGAGAACACAGTATACGACATGTTGCTGAAGCACTGATTGAAGGAGCTAGTAAATAGGTGACAATGGTTGTACTCATACAAGTATTTTATTCTTTTATTTTTTCTTCCTGGCTTTATGTCACTTTCTGTTTCTGGATGCTGCTGTATTCTCCAGCAATTCACTTTTGTTTCTTTCTACAGTCACTTATTTTGCTCTTGCACACATTAGGTTCTCTTCCTACTCCTCTATATTTTCCTCCCTTTCTCCATTTGCTTCTCCTCTGTTTCCAACCTCATAGTTCATCATGCATGCTTGCCTCAAATTCTACCAGACATCCATTAATAAAATATGAAGACAGTCAGCAGGGGGAAAAAAAGCAAGGAAACCTCTAAGGTGTTTACCCAAAAATAAAGGGACAGAGGTTTAAGAATCTCTCTTATACATCTGTGCGTAAATTCCAAACTAAAACCAAAGAAGTAGATTTAAGGTTGTATTCACATGCTTAGAATGGATTTACTCCCATTCCAAGTCAATGCATTCTGATTCATTGCATTTTGCCATTTAAAAAGGTCAAAAAACATGTGGTGAAATCAGGATGTGACAAGCACCAAGAAAAAGAAACAGGCCCTTCTGGGGGAGAGGGACAGGTGGCAACCCTGGTAAATCAAGTCAGCATTAGAATTTCCTACAGAATAAAATGAGATAGTGTTTAGTCTCACAGGGGAAATCTTGTAACTATCATGGGACAGATATGATCTAAAGCAGGCTGGCTGTTAATGCCACGGATCTGGCTGAATAGACCTTAATCTAATTCTTAAAAGACAAACCAAAGTAGCAGCAATAACGGTAACATTCAGACAACTGTTTTGATTCAATTCTTTTGACACAGTCTGACCTAATGTAGAGGTATCAATCACCACAAAAAGCTAAATATATTTTCCTAGATGTCTTTGTCTGTTCCAGACCAAAGGCAGGAAGCCCTCAGAGGTCCAAATGTAAAACTGGTGTTAGAGAGCAAGCAAAACATTTTAGCTTAGCTTCATTAAAACTTCAGTAATGGTAGTGAGGCACCCTGCTTACATGCAACACCTTTTGTGCCTTACTAAGATCCAGATGGGATAATCAGTATTCATCTTCTTTTAGATAGGAAAATCCTCTAAGGATCTTCAGCAACTAGAATATCATCTTTTCAGGTTAAGAGCCACGCTAAAAAAACGTCCATTTATATTATGAAATTGGACATGGGGGGGGTAAAAATTTGTAAAAATGTAACAGACTGCAGTAACCTCTCATATCAGCAAGATTATTTTTGCAAAATATACAGTACTATGGAAATTTTAGTGTAGGTTAGTATACAAAAACTTAGAACTCAAGTACTGTGCACAGACAAATCTATCGTTCAAGTATTACTAATTTACAAACAAGAACAATTTGTGCTTTTATAGTAAACCACAGCGTATGTAAGTTATAGTCATCATATACAAAGCTATTATGTCTTGTGAAATTGTTTAAAATGTCAACAGGAAATACAACATGTTTGAACACGTGCATCTAGGAATATAGACCTCCAACTGACATTGTATTAAACTAGTTGGTTACTAATGTGTAACTACTGTGTATACTGGTCACTAAAAAGAAAGCTTAGTATTAAATAATTTGTCATATTATGATATGACCACATTTTAAAGGAGAGCTTTATGATTTTGTGTAAACATACAGCTCCCTCATCCCTTCCTCAATCAGCCCTTGATCTTATAAAATTCTAAGAAAAAGACAGATATGAGAGCAAACTGCTTCTTTAGGGATTTCTGTCAGTCAGCTGCTTAATAAAAGGGGTTTGGGATAGAGGACTAAATTCTGTGCTGGGGATTACAGTAATTAGGAGTTAATGAATCATAGTAAAAACAAAACAAAATAGAAAATAACAAATACAACAAGAGATGAAATAAGCAGAAACTGAAACCGATTAAAGGGATAGAAAACTAACAGTCACATGTAACTTTCACCAGTAAGGATGTAGAATTACAGTTAAAGTTTGAATCTTCCATATGTACTGCGTAATGCCCCCTACTTATACCTCTCCATAGAGAAGTATTTGTTAGAGGTGTGCAAAACAGGCCATATTCCATTCCGATTTGGCCCAAATCGGGGGTCAGCAATTTGATTAGTTGATCCAGATAATTGTCCCAATTCAATTCGACTGAATCCGAATCTGAAGATTCGATGCTGATTCGAAGAATCGGCGGTTCGGCCATAGACATACCTTTAAATGTTTTTTCTATATACCTCAAGGTACCAGAAGCAGCTCGTGAATACTGAGATGGTGGTGGGGTGGATGGAGAGTCCTATAGGAGCGCAGGGGGGCCTCCCTACGTGCTCAGCAGCAGACCTGGAAGTGGACCAGAACTACTTCTGGTCCACTTCTGGGTCCACTGCCAACCGCACCAGGGATCCCTCTTGTGCCCCCCTGGCTTGGCGAACGGCTGTGGGAGGATCCTGGGTGGCACTAGTTGCCGAATCGGGGGCACGTGGTCCACAGCAGACCAGAAGTGCTTCTGGCCCACTTCTGGGTCCGTCGCTGAGTGAGCTGGGGACCCTCCCACACTCCTGTGGGATGCTCCATCTGCCCCCACCATCTCAGTGTTAACAAGCCGCTGGTACCTTGAGGCATGTAGAAAACACATTTAAAGTTGTGTCTATGTCCGAATCATCAAATCTCTCTGAATCGATTCAAAGGGTTCCGGTTCGATTCCAAGAGATTAAAGGGCCTCCCGATTTGATTTGGATTTGGAGATTCAGCTGCTGAGTCGAATCAGCAACCAAAGCTTCACACAGTCCTAGTACCTGTGTGGCATGTTTTCAAGAATTTACCCTATGTTAGAGCTTTTTCCTACCTGAACATTTGTCATTTATTCCTAATTTGTCTTCTACTATAATATCTTTCAAATATTGAAGAGTGATATCAGTCTGTTGTATTAAAATACAGCTGTTCCAGAATCCTGTATCAGCTTAATAGTGAATTGGTCATTTTTTTTTTTAATGACTGCTTACAGTATCCTTTAATTTTTCCAAACTTCACAAATCAAATTCTCAGCCAAGACACTCTTCTTAAGAGTGTTGTTAGCCCATAAGATACTTACATTCTACTTTAACAAAGGAATCTTTTGCATAAAACCTAGACTTGTTTATAATGATTGCAGGCTGCAAGTGAAACTTAATTATATTAACCAATGTAAAATACATCTTTTTATAATGCTTATACCTTTCTGGAAAAGAAATGCAAGGCTGACATTTCTAATACCTGTCGAACATCCATTTGTTGTGTGATCAGCCCTTGAAAGAGCTGTAAAGCTGTGCTCAAACAGAAAAGCATGGCTGCAGAGCACTCCAATCATGTGACAAATTAACCCTCATTATATAAAGGTTCAAATCAAAATGCTCTAAAGCAGAGCACCTTCATTAATTTCTATCTGGTCTGGCTGCAGCACAACCCAGGCCCAGCCCCTGTCACTGGATGGGAGGGGGGAGAAGGCAAGGCAGGGAGGTCTGTTCTGGAGTTCTCAGCCCTGCTGGAGTTGGCGGGCAGGTGGACTGGATCCCCACTGACATGAGGGGCTCCAATTCACCCGCCTCCCCCACTCCAGCAGGGCTGAGAGAACACCAGAATGCATCTCCCTCCACTGCGTTCTCCTTCCTCCCTCCCACACAGATACACAGGAAGCAAGCTGTGTGACTGCAGCCCACATAACACATTGAGAACTACCAATGTGGCCCACTATGGCAAACAGGTTGAGAACCACAGGTCTACTGAGTTGGGAGGACTGGTCTAAATCATGGCACTTTCTATGAATCTCCCCGAATTAGACCTGGGAGCTGCACTTCTGTTTGCACCCTGAAAGGTGAATGAGGTTCCTGGAGTTTTGGATGTACATTGTATTTATAAATTATCATTAGTATTATATTATATTGTGGATTAGTTAGCTCATTAATAACCACCACAACAAAAACTATGATATCTTACCTTGAGGTCAAGATGAACCACGTTATTTCTGTGTAAAAATGAAACTCCTTCCAAAATCTGCCTCATGAGCCGTTTCACATCTTTTTCTTTGAAAGCTTCTTCTCTTTCAGCTACACACTGGTCAAATATTTCACCACCAGCAGCACTGTGGAACAAAGTTATTTGCAGAATATAAAATATACATAGTATCAAACTCATGTTATTCTTATTGTGCTAATATTTAATTTGAGAATTAATGACTAAATCCATCAAGTACACAAAATTCTGCTTTGCAAAACAAACAAAAAAAAGCAAGAAAAATACAAAGTTCTTTCAATATTAGTCACCTCTATTACTTCATGCTTGCTGATGCATCTTAGTATCCAAGGGCAAAGAAAAAGAAAAGTCTGAGAATTATGAAAACTTGAATTCATGAACTTGTCATCAGTAAAAATATTAAGTGTTTATAAATCCCAACTACACTTACAAAGCTAGGATTACAAAAGAGAAGTGTTATATTTAGACTGCTTTTTTATATTGTTCCCTGAAAGATCTTTATTCCTAACTATTACTATGAATAAATAAAGAAGTAATTTAGATGCCCAAATATGGCAAGTAATTAGAATCACTAAAAAATAGGGCTGAAAGGGACTTCAGTCAAACCCCCTCACTCAAGGCAGAAGCATCCATCTCTAAACCGTCCCAATCGGTTGGTTTGTTTTTTTGGACTAACTTCTTATTTAAAACTTCCAAGGATGTAATATTACACCCACCTGACATTTTTAAAAATATTGTTTTCTTTACTGTGTTTTTTTTTAAAGATTAAAAAGTATGCAGCTGAATCTACAACATAGACTAAAGCAGTTCATACAATAGATTGGGTTACTGAACTGTAAACTAAAATCATCACAATGGGTCTCCTAAAATCATTAACTTTTACAATATCATGGATTAACAAACCAAAACCAAATAAAGATTTTTTTAAAATTTTTAATTCTAGGCCAGGACTTGCACAGAACTACTGTAGAGCTCTGTATGTGAACATCAGACTAGCGGATGATGGGTTTAAATAAATCCAGTTCAACCTCAATTTACATAAAACATTCTTGAAACTGCATTTTTGTTCTGTTTATGCATTCCTGGTATTGTAGGTGTCCTAGTGGTGCCATCTGTTATTAAGGTTGCTTAACAGATGCCATAATAAGACACTGTTTCCAGCTGTTTGATGGCAAACTATGCATTCAAGCTGAAGTTTTCCATGTTATGTGTCTGTGCCACGTCAAAATTTTTAGATAAAGTCAGCCAAAACAGTTCAGGTGTCTGTTTAGCATTTTTTATATGTACTTATACTTTGAAACAAAAAGCAAAACAACACAAAAACAGGTACTCAATTTTTTTTAATTGATGGCAACTTGTTTCAGAAACAAATAGGTTTAACACTGGTGTATTTGTTACTGGGGATATAATATCAAGCAGGGATAGCATTAGCATCAGGGACATACGCTTTCCCCCTTGTAAACCTACCCAAATTTGGCCAATAACTTCCTCACACCTCCCAAATAGTATGCACATTCTTTGTAGAGTTTAATAACAAAAACACCTACATATTTCATCCTCATTAATGTATGCTGGAGATTCTTGCAGCCCCTAATGCTGACCAGATTACATAGGCTCCATACCCAAAAAGCAACCAAGCACGTTCCAGCCCACGACCACATAAGCAAAGCTAAACTTTACCTCTAGTGTTTGGCTGAGTTGCGGCCAAGCACTGGAATGGAGAGAATGCCTTTCCCCCATGCTATCAATGACTCTCCTGTTGGTTTGGAGGCAACACAAAGGAGGAAGCTACCTGATCTAAATGCAAAGGGGACAGAAGCTCAACTAGGGCTTAGTGGAAGTGGCAGCCAGATGAATAAACTGGGAAATGGAGCCTGGGGTGGAGATTGGGACTTGGACCCAGGAAGTTGAACTGAGCACTGTTCTATGACATGAGACAGGTTGTCTGGGAAGGGAAAATAAAAAAAAGGGCCCACATAATTAAAGACCATGTTAAAATTCCTCTACATAAGGGGACCAAGTTATGACAGAACAAGGGTTGCTTGTATTTCCAAACCTTGGAGTCCTTGAGTTTACCAATTTAACATAGTTTATGTTTAAGAGCATATTATTTCCTGGCATTATCTGATATATTGTAAAAAAAAGTAAAGTCATGTGAAAGGCTATCATAGTAGATGGATAGCCATTTTTATATTCAAAGAAATTACAGATTTGTTAAACACGTTATGGAGGCCCTCACTTCATTAGCAAAGTTAAACAATCACCTTTATCAAAGAAGTATTCCCCTAAGAAAAAAACTACATGCACTAAAATGCAGAATAATTAATGTAACAGCTCTTGCTTTAGGTATGTCAGTATTTCTACAAAGGAAGATCTTAAGGTCTAGTAATTTTAGATGAGAAATTCTAGCTTTTAGTAACTTATGTTCTTGGTGCCTTCAAAATCTGGATATTCAGAAAATGCAGTCCTCAGAACCCTTTAGAAGGGTACCACTAGTGCCTTTCCCTCTATTGGCATCTTCAACAAATTAGTCTTCATATATTTGCCTCCTCTTTGGTTTTGCAAAAGAATAAGGGCCTGGTCCAACCTTCCTTCCAAAACAGAATTCTAATGGGATTAGATTAGGACTGTACACAGAAGGGACTGAGTAAATCAAAGGCATTTCCTAAAAGAGTCTTGAGAGTATATACATCTAGGAGAGCCGAGCAAAAAGCACATCTATGAAGAAAATTATAAAATGATATATTGATACAGTGCTTTTATATCTGCTTCTCTATAACCGGTCCTTAAGATATAACACCTCTGTGAAGGACTGAAAATTCTCTCTCAGATACTGGAGTTGAAGAGAAATCAGGTACTAAAGGCAATTAAAAAGCTTTGACTACTGTCAGCTGCTTCAGCAGAAAGATAAAGTGAGGAGCTATAATCTTGCTACTACTGTACAATTATTTGACACTTGCCTAAGTGTGAGTTTGGGATTTATTCAATTTTCAGGACTTCATATACCAGAATGCCACAAGACTCCCGTTAGGCAAGCAGCAAAACTCCTTTATATTTTCCATTATGACTGGACTTGGAGGAGATATTTTGCTACTGACAGAAATATCTGATGGAATAAAGTATTCTACAGCCAAAACCCCCCCCAAAACAAACCAACCAACCTCCCTCCCCAAGAGAAACC